TAGCTTGGCAACTGAGAGACTGGTAGATCCGGATGTTAGACGAACTTTAGAGTCACTTTCAGATGCTCCACCATTAGATGTGAACTCATACTGGTACGAGATTGCCACTTCTTTGCACAGTGCTGAGAGTTTTGCCTGTGGCACGGCACCACCAGGCGCACTCAAACACTTGATATCAGACCGAACGGTGACACTCCTTAAACCTTGGCCCAACGAATTGCAAGACAAATCAAAGGGAGCGTGCGAGTCTGGCGGACACATAAGGTCAAGGAAATGGAAGAGGCCCAGAAAGCCGGGAAGGGCCGAAAATTATTTCACTTGAGCCAGTCTCCAGAAACTATCCGTGAGCGAAACCATTAGGAACTGAATTAGAACGACCACCTTCAGTAAAAAACGCCTCAACCGGTGGACCGAATACGCTGAACAACAGCTAAAGTGGACACCAGCCGCCACTGACCTGGAGCCCACAGTTGACGTAGAACGTGACGGTGAATGTGGAACCACGCACGACCCCTAAGGTTCACGACTGCATATGTTCCCTCAAGCGCCACCGAGCCTCTGGTCCGGATGACCTCTCACCCGCACTTTTCGATGTTGGGGGTGAAGTCTTCAACTAGCGCTCGTCCGATACGGTTGCTTGCATTTGAGAAAAGGAGTCTGTTCCAGACTCGTGGGGAGAGTCGGTGATAGTGCTCACTTTCAAAAAGGGGGTGTAGTGAGTGTGGTAGCCACAGGGGGATCAGCTTGATCCCGGCCGTAACGAGACCGTTAGAGTCGCTTGTGCTTCGTTGCCTTACGGTGCCTCTTGAAACACTGATTCGAGAGCGGCAAGCAAGATTCCGGCCTGGTAGGGATTGTTTTGACCAAATCTTCACACTTCGTTAGGTGCTAGAACAACGCCATACGTATAGGCGACCCACTATTTTTGTATTACTTGATTCCCAAGATGCTTTTGACTTGGTTGAAAAGTCTTCCTCTTGACACGCTTGCCCATCAATTAATGCCCCGGACGTTCGTGAACATAATAAGCTCCTTGTATTTTCAGACTTCCAGACGTGTGAGAGTATTCAGCGAACTCTCTAAAAGCTTCCGTACACAAACCGATGTATTTCAGGGATGCCCATTCTATTCCTATTTAACTTCGTGATCGATGAAATCATGAGACGTACGACGGAAGGTCTCCAAAATCTCGGTGTTCAAGTAGCCTGTGACGAAGACCTTGTCAATATGGAAAATGCAGATGGTTCCTCCTCGTCTTTGAATAGGAGCGGAAGGCGCAAGTGTTTCTGGATTAACTGACCAAACTCACCACGTTCTTTGATATACACTTTTCACCCACAAAGTGTAAGGTCATGCTCCTGGACGTGCAGTCACTGAACACCCCATTTGCAATCCAAGGAGAGCCGTATGTATCAGTGCCGGCTGGTCTGTTGTATGGGCATAACACTTGGACTGTTCGGGCAAAGGAACTTAGACATATTCAGGTACTCACAGGACCATAGTTCGTGCGAGTTGGTGTCGGAGAATTCGCAACGCGTCAATTGAGAAGCGAGTTTCCGGTTGTCCCATGTGCAACTTCACTGAAGAATGTGCCCAGCACCAGAAGCTGCGTTGGTTAGGCCATCTATTACGTATGTTCAACCATCGTTTGCCGGTGTTGATTTCGTTATCCAAAACAGTGGCAAAAGTAGAGAGGTGGCCAACCCATGACCTGGCAGAAGGGTATGAAGGAGATTAAGAAAAGTTTGGGTGCTGTATATGCTACCCGCCCTCCAGAATTGCGAGATCCCCACTGCATTTGGCTGAAGACGCTGCAATATATGGCTGTTGATTGATCTCAATGGCGTTCTTGTTGTCAGTTTCTATCCAGATTGTATGAATGGGTGTCTGGAGGTGTATGTACTTAGGAGGGATTGTAGTGAGCTGAAACTAAGTTCCATCCCCGTTCACCTTTATTCTTCTCTATACAATAATGCTTTCAAATGAATGATGGTCAAACGAGAGCGAAACATCGGTATTGAACAGTGACGTCATGCTGTCAATGATGATGCAAAACTGGTCCGCTGTATCTAAGCGATGCTGCATCTCCATCGTCGTAGGCTGATGGACAGTGAGCGGCTGTAGTACTGTCGTCATGGATCAAAATATCAGTGAAAAGTAGGGAAGGGACATCGCCAGTCCCCTATTCTATTTTAAATATCCACTGCGTGGGGACTTTTCTGAAATTTCCCACTAAGCAAATATATAAATCATTCAGCTGTAGCACCTTTTAGGTGCCTCGCTGCCATGCCACCCGAAGCACGAGGGCTGGGATACTGCCAGGTTGCCCAAGCCTAAACTATGCTGACGTCGACTGATTTCAGTGGGCTATGAACGCTGCACCCCGTCATTCTCATCAGTTGAGCTCACATGCTGCATGTCTAGCAGAGAATAATTAAACTTCCAGAGTTCTTCCCCGGACAACCACCTGTAGCGATGGAAACTCGACCTCCCAGTCGGGGATACGCTAAGGCACTTAGGCCTCGATTAAGGTCAGCAAATCTGGACAGAGTTCACCCACGAAAACTTCAGTAGCACCAAATTTCTATCTGATACTACTTGCATTTTCAGTCCTCCAAAAGATCAGCCGGCACTCTTCTCAGCCCGCAAGAATAACTCATGGAAGGCGATATTTTCCGTCAACTTCAGACTTTCTCCCACTATGGAGACCACACTGGTTTTCGATTCCTTCCCATTAAACATATTGAAAAGTATATGCCAAAAATTCTGAGTATGGAGCACTCCATCAGCGGGATCTTGCTGAACGGAGCCCGGAGGATTCGTGATAGGGCGGTTTCATTGACTCTTTGAGACATCTGTGGTCCAAAATCAGGGTTTCCTTGAATGGGTTTCTCCAAGACAGTAACCTTGATCATAAGATCCCCTGTTCGAGTGTTGGTCTTTTAAGCCCTCTGCTTCCGTTTTCTGATCTTCGACACTATTGGCTTGAGACTGATTTGTCAAACGGGGAGAAGTGAGTCTCTGTACGTCTTAAGGGACTTCCATCCTCTGAAAGCTTGATGACCGAAATTAGAGCCTTGTGTAAACGGAATATGCGCATGCCAGATAGGATTATATTCAATTCTGATCGGGGATTCGCCCTTTATGTGTAAGCATTCCGGATAGAAACTGAAGGGAACCTTAGTTCGAGGCACACATCATTCAATATCAGGTGAGGAGGGATACAGTAGAAGCCGGTAGCGCTGGAAATGCATTGCAGCAAACGTTTATGCAAATCCTTATCTACTCTACACTAGACGGCGTACAACTACCTGTTCATTGTGCTGGATGATTTTGGATTGGGTGGTTACATCTTGCCGTGTATAACCAATGCCGGTCTTCCCTGATTGACTATCCGTACCCGTTTTTTGTTTTAGGGCGCGACCGCACGGCGATTTCATATTTTTAATATTTTATGGCCTTTTAACTGCTAAACGGCGGTTTCACGCTCAGCGTAACCAGTTCCTTATGGTTGTCGGTCAAATACATATTCGTGCCGCGATCAAACTTCACCTTCATTAACGAATATTCAGCGTAGGTTGACGCCATTACCACCGCTGAATGGCGCATTAGGTAGCACTGATCTATGTCAACAACACTCCCATCACATGCATGTAGAGACCACGTAAGTCGCCGGGGATTATATTTAAAAAAGCGTTA